CTCTTTCACCTCCATGTCGTTTTTCTATTCATTTCTTTCTTTAAGGGGATATAATGAATGATTCATTTAATTTACAACACGCCTAATATTTTTTTCTTTGAACATTGCTCGCTCTCTCCCTCGTATATTAACGTTTTCTACTCTAAACATCCTTGAATTTGTCCTCAATATCCTGGATTGACTGTATTTCTTGAAAACTACATTTATTTCCATTTTATTGTCATTTCACAATAGTAAAAAAGAATTGCATAATCCATGTCTTCATTATTTTACGATGATCAGAAGGAATCGCAGTCCTCACTCTTGTCTTAGCTTCGCGAAGGTGATAAACCAGGAATGACATACCAGAAGATTGACTTATTCATGGGAACACAAAATATACGGCGAGAAAGAAAAAAGTAAGAGAGAATCCCAAATGAAAAGATGGACAGATATTATTAAATAAATATAGATAAGAGGTATATTTAGAATGAATTAAAAACATTCAAGTTAAACAAACAAAAATGACAAACTTAAAGGTGAGTGTCTTCAAGGCGTGAAGATGAAGAGGTATTGGAAACTGCATGTCATTAGACCTTATTCACGATTCCTGCATTAAAACAGTTCCACAATTGAGATTATGCCACATTAAGTATATTTTATATGTGCATAAAACACTTAAATGGTATCATAAACATTCCCTACTATTCATTTCTTATAAAAGATGCATATTAAGTTACAACTGTAGATGTTCTGAGTATCAGTGAACCTAACCCTCTAAAAGGCGTTTATATACATATATATCTAAGACTCTAAAGTGCGATGGTGACGCAAAAATGCGATGATCTCCCCAAAGTCAGATGGTCTGCGCCAAACGTTCGTGGGGATGTTAATTCGTGGGTAAGGGTGACTCACGAAATCCACGAACATTGGTCCACCACGAACATTGATGATTCTACAGAAAATGAGAGCCCATGGGTCGAGGATACCATCGGCAAAAATTTGCTCAGGGGTATTCTCTTTAGAGAAGTGGACAGGCATTCGTCTACATCCATTTCGAATTCCTGTTCACTTCTCTAAAGAAAATACCTCAGGGGTTCTTGAGATATTAAGAAATAGAGACATTTTATTTACAAATTTATTTAACATTTTGAAAACATTTTATCTACTGATATAAATTGAAGCTACGTCGCCAAAAGGAAGAGAAACGGGTCATCGGAGAACAAAAAATAATAATTTGTTTTGTGGTCGCAAACAAATCTTATACTAAATTTATTGCTTACACTTATCCTGTTACCACGTTAAACTAGGCAGAAATATTCGAAAACGAGTAGTAAAATGCATCCCATTTATTTCAATTTGGTCTATTTTGGCATTTCAGGAACAGGTAACTAAAGGTAATTTTGTTTCATTTTTATGCGATAGTAAGATGTCGGTGTGTCGGTCTGTCTGTCTGTAAACAATTTTTCAAAATGCTAGTTCTCCTGCAGTTTTGGTCTGATTTCAATATAACTTAGAACACAAGCAGACTGCACTAAGATACAAAATTCTTTTAATCGGTTTTTGATTTCGATGAACGGTGTTGCCGTGGTTCCTAAAAATAGAATTTTCTGTGAAAGACTTTCAAAATGCTACTCCTCCTACAGTTTATGTGTGATTTCAATATAACTTGGCACACAAGTAGTCTACACTACGATACATAATTATGCATATCGTTTTTGATTTCGATAAATATCGGTTTTTGATTTCGATAAACGGTGTTACCGTGTTTACTTAAAATAGAAATTTCTGTGAAATACTTTTGAAATGCCACTCCTCCTACAGTTTTGGTTTGATTTCAATATAACTTGGCACAAAAGTAGACTACACTAAGTTACATAATTCTTGTATCGGTTTTTAATTTAGATAAACGGTGTTGCCGTGGTTCCTAAAAATAAAAATGTCTGTGAAATACTTTCAAAATGCCACATCTCCTACAGTTTAGGTCTGATTTCAATATAACTTGGCACACAAGTAGACTACACTAAGATACATACATGTAATTCTGTGTATCGTTTTTTGGATTCGATGAACGGTGCTGCCATATTGTTACTAAACATAGAGAGATTCTTTCTGTGAAATACTTTTAAAATGCTACACCTCCTACAGTTTTAATCTAATTATAATATACATGTAATCTGGCATTCAAGTAGACTAAACTGAGATACATAATTATCAGTTTTGTGTTTCGATTTGATATTGCCATGGTAACTAAAATTGAAAATTCTGTAAAATTTTATTTAAAGCCACTCCTACAGTTGTAGTCTTATTGCAATCTTGCCACAAAAAGAGACTTAATCTGGAATCATTATTCTACTTATTGCTTTTGTAAAGTTTTATGTCCCAACTGCTACTTTATAAGTACAAAACAGTAGAGCTACAGTCTTGACAGAGACTTCTGGTTAATCATAGGAGCGTTGGGTTGTATCATTAGCGTGTTGGATTGTATGTGAGGTTTGGATAATATGTGAGGGTCGGATGGAACCCTAAGGGGGTTGGATGGTATAATGAAAGCGTTGGAAGGAATCGTGATAGCTGCAGATCTGTACATAGCGTTATGGTTTTATATAGAAGTCTTGAGTGACCATAACGTTATGGTCAAGACTACTATATAAAACCATAACGCTACAGATCTGCAGCTAGTGCGTTTATGGGATGCATAGTCATGCACATGCATTTGATTCTGAAGGTACATGGGTTGACATTTTTTAGTTTATATTTTTTCCAGGCGTAGGCGAAAGCCTGTCCACTTCTCTAAAGATAATAGAGAAAGGCCTGTCCTCAATATGCTTAAATTACTACAAATTGATATTTCTGATGCAAAATTTATCATGCGTAAGAAATTTTTTTTTTTTGAAAAGAAGACTAGACTCTAACGCTTCGTGCATATCATTAATATCAGTTAAAAATTTGAATGAAAAAACGTTCAAATTGAGATTTATTGTCACTTTCAGTTATTCAGCTTTGTGTGTGTGTGTGAGTGAGAGAGAGAGAGAGAGAGAGAGAGAGAGAGCGCCGATTGCATTCACTAGGGGCAGACAACTCTGAAGTTATGCTAGCACTTGCCGACCTACAAGCAAGATAACAGTGGATTAAGCGGTACGTATTATCCTGCTATAAATGGCCCAGATGTGTTTAGAACTTCGAAAGGTTAAAGGTAAGTTTAAGAATATTTCAGGATTTGAGGGAAACCCTTTAAAATTATTTTGATTTGCAAATTGCAAGCCAACACAAGTTCACATGACCACTGCATGAGAACGTAGCTATAGACTATAAGTAGAGCTCTGCAATGCTCTGCGAGATTAGTTCTTGAAGACATGCACAGAATTGAATTGTGTTTTTAAATGTTTCTAGGATCAAAAAGGGTTTAATTAGGACAGAACTAAAAAGATTATTGCTTAGATTTAATCAAAATCACATGAAACATGTTTGTTCTGTTGTAAGAATAAACAGCTGACAACTAGGGCTATAAATAACTCTATAAATCCGCAGTGTTTTATCGGGCACATGCAGTGTGTGAACATGGCATTGATAGAACCACAAGAGTTCGCAATTTTATCAATAAACTCGATTGACCAAGTCATGAGCTAGCTATGCGTAAGTATGCCGCAAAGTCCACACTTAAATCGAGGTGTATATTTATAACAATATATTCTGCATTTTTGAATCATTTATAAATTAGTAGATCTACCAGACTTTTGATAACTTTCCTCCGAATTATATAATACAAAAGACTCAGCTGCAGACAGGAAAATTAGATTCAGAAAAAAAAATTAATTAAAAAAATTAGCTTCCTGAATATATGATGAAGTGTCATAATATGACTACTTATCGTTTTTTTTATTTATCACAATGCAGCGCTTTTGAGGTAGATCTAGAGATATAATTCCTTTAGTCATACTATCTCATTTGATTCAACAGAGTTTGTTTAAGTTCTATACACTTTTCTTCAGTGATGAAACATAAGGGTTACACCTCAATTAAGTCAGCATATTTATGTCACCTGAGCCATTCAGGTGACCCTTTTAATTTATACATGTACCTGACCACCACTACACCTGCAGCTATGTGTGTAGTGGGAATGGATGGGCTCAGATATATAATTATATAGATGTTAAAAAGGAGGAGCTTCCTGACCCCACCCCCTCCCCATCCCCACCTGGGAAGTTAGGGATGTGACAAATGTAATCATGCAAACGTTTTATGTAATTTTCAAAATTCCCTAAAAAATCATCTGTCAGTTAACATTTATCATAATTTCATCTAGTAAATGTAAAACAAAGTCCACTTGGTAGACCTCATTTTTACACTACAAAATATCTAAAATCGGAGCTTAATTCCAAGGGCATTGGCCCCTGGGCTTCCACTGTGGACAAACTAGGGGCCTCAAGGCAGCCCGTAGACCCCCTGCCTACTTATGATTTCTGCACCCAAACTTCAATTCCCGTATCCATGCCTCACCTGTATTGATTCAGACTAGTGTTTAAAGTTACTGTAAAATAAGCTAGACATGCAGGGTTGACTGCTAGTAAAAGTTGTATTAAATAATTATTTTAAAAAATGCTTTATATCATAAAGATATTCCTTTCCCCCAGTTGACTCAGAGAATCAATGGAGATAGATTTGTGCATAAATTATGATAGTGAATGCATACATTTAGTTCATTTTATATCAATCACTCAGTCTTCAGTTCTTAGTCATTGCCAAATAAAACTTAAATATGACATTCAGGAGATTGCATTACAGTGCATGTAGTACTTTATTAAGGTATTAATGACCAGTTATTATCTGAAACCTCTCCTTTGCTTGATGAATTTTCTGTTCATATTCAATCTCTATTTCTCTTTTTTTCAATCCAGCGCGCTATCTTCCTGCCATGACACAACTCTAGCAGAGTCAGTGGCCATTTGGACCCACAGGAATGTGTACTCCCTTTGGGGCCCCACCCCCTCCCCCTCCCCCTGTAGACGTCGGTCCAGTAACCCGCATCAGTCTAAAGAATATTTCTGGGACAGTATTAATGGTGCCACAGGAGCCAACTAATCACAGCAAAGAACACCTCAGGAAGAACATCAAAACAACCATGTATGTGTTTTGTTGTTTTTACTATTAATTTTTAGCTCTACTGGTCAGAGACCAGAAGAGCTTATGCGATAGTAATGCGTCCGTCGTCCATCCGTCTGCCTGTAAACAATTTTTCAAAATGCTCCTCCTCCTACGGTTTTGGTCCGATTTCAATATACCTTGGCACTCAAGTAGATTACACTAAGATACATAATTCTGTGCATCGGTTTTTGATTTCAATGAACGGCGTTGTCGTGGTTACTAAAAATAATAATTTCTGTGAAATTCTTTCAAAATGCTACTCCTCCTACAGTTTTGGTTTGATTTCAATAAAACTTGGCACACAATTAGACTACACTAAAATAACATAATTCTGTGCATCGGTTTTTGATTTCAATGAATGGTGTTGCCATGGTTACCAAAAATAGAAATTTCTGTGAAATGCTTTCAAAATGCTACTCCTCCTACAGTTTTGGTTCGATTTCAAAATAACTTGGCACACAAGTAGACTACACTAAGATACATAATTCTGTGCATCGGTTTTTTTTTTGAAGAGCGGCAAGGATCATTTTTCTATTTATTGCTATTTCAAGTCCCAACTGCTACTTTTCTCTTCCTTTGTTTTAAGTGTAAACCAGTAGAGCTACAGTCTCGACAGAGACTTCTGGTTAGTTATAAACTAAACATATACCATATGTTTAGAATTTTCTTATTTTAGTATTTAAAAAAAAAGTTGATTGAAGGTACACATATGTACCATGTTTCCCAGGGTATTACTTTCAGGGAAAAGTTACAATGTACCATAAATGGCCCTGATTCACATGGATGTCAATATTAAGAAATTATTATCTTCAAAAAAAATAAATAGTACATGTATGAGGAAGTTTTTATAATACTTTTTTTATGATATTGTAAAAAATAATCTATTTGCAATGATAAAAAAAATTGAAAGTACTTGTACAACATTTCCTTTTATCACTTATCTTGGAAGATAACATTGCTGGGCATTTAAGTGGAGATTGTAGGAATGAAAATCTAACTGTAAACCACTTGTTTTTTATATGTCCTCATATTTATCATCAAGAGATTTAAGATGTAATGGCAAGTGAAAAATAAGCATGATAAGACAGTATATTATGACTAAAGTTATGTCACCTCTTGACATATGTTTTTTTTTTTTTTCCAGAGAGAAGGATATTCCGAATCTGTCTTCCAAAGTCATTGTATCTTCCAATAGCACTGTCCACCCAATACTTCAAGATGGGCCATGGTAATAATTAAATTGCATGTTTTACTGAGATTTTGTGTAAAAAAAAAAAAATTAGTTGTCGATCATTAGAATTTGTCAGTAAACTAGAACTTAAATTGGCAGGTAAATAAGTGCTATCAGACGTATTTCTTCGTAGCATGCATGTAATACATACACGTACATGTATATACTACTAGTGCAATGTACAGGGCTTTTTTATAGTTGCGGAGTTGTTGCCCTTGCCATGGCTGCTCAAATGTTGAAGAAAGAGATGGCAGCCACACATATCTTAGAGACAAGTCAGAGGAGAGGCTTATCGTTGCAGGGAGAACTCTTCTCAGGTATAGCTCTTATAGATTTATTTTTGAATTTAAAAAACAGATCTGTGCTATTATCTTTGATTTGCTTACAGCCACCCGCCAAAAATATGTAATTAATATGATCTCCCTTGGTTTATATTTGAATATTATATTTTTATACCCCCGCTCCGAAGGGGAGGGGTTATACTGTTTTACTGTGTGTCGGTCCGTAACAAATTTTCGTCGCAGTTTCTCAGCAACTAGTCATCGTAGATGCTTGAAATTTTAACATAATCTTCTCTGAGGCATGCCATATGGTGGGATACTTTTTTGTATAAATCCGATGTCAACTTCCTGTTTGTCTGTGCATCTGTCCGTTTCATACATAACAAATTTTCATCACAGTTTTGTCATCAATTACTGGTAGCAGATGCTTGAAATTTTAGTACAAGTACTCTAAAGTTGAGACATGCCATATGGTGGGATTAATTTTGATATGAATCTGATGTCAATTTTCTATTTGTCTGTGCATCAGCATGTAATTGAACTTGTATATACTAACATGATAGTGTTTATTCAAATCAGAACGGGGGTATTACTAGTGAGCATTGGCTCACAGACTTCTTGTTCAAAATATTAATTAAGTTGTTTTTCTTTTTTCTTCCTTCCCTTTGGATCTGCTGCCATGCAAATTTAATATATAATCTTTGATTTTATATGTTTTTATGACTTGATTATTAAAAAAAAAAATAGTTGAAACTTTGAAGAATTATTTAATTGCTCACTTACAGAAGGGCTGGTATTAAGTTTATTCAATTTTTTGCTTTAAATCCAAATTCATGGGATACATGTATTATGAGGGCATATTTTTAACTCATGCTCTTCAGTTTTCCTTTCTAATCTTTAGGGACATAGTGCCTAATCAGTTCATTTCTCTTATACAAGTTTATGTGTTACCATAACATGTCCTATACACATACTAACTAAATTTAATCATTGCAGCTTATGATATGGCCACGTTAGCAGAGGAAATTCTGGATTGTACAGCCACTGTTTTAGATATGAGGGACTCAGGATCCAGGGAAAGTCTACTGGGACATCTAGCCAACAGTCACCCTGTCCTAGTGCCGTATCCTTAATGGAGGATGCTTATCTTTTTAAAATTGTATCTAAATTTTTTGGGGGGATAATCCAATTATCACTTTCTCACTGATTGAGTCTTTTTAGGTTAATTGTTAGAAAAAGATCTGTAAAATTGCTGCTCAGATTAGATTACAAAGAAATCACTGTAAAAATATGATTATTAAATTTAGAAAATATTTCTGCAAAGTTAAATAGCTATACATGAAATAGTCCTGTTATATGGTACTGGTATACCTTTTATGTAAATATGTACATGTATCTTTTCATTTAAGTCAGAAAGAATATTTACCTTCAGTTAGCCAGTTGTGTATTATTTTGTACTTATGGGGTATTAGATATACATGTATGATAGAACAAGCAAAATGATCAGAATTATTTTGTATTAACTGGGCATTAGATATGATGGAGACAAAAATAATGGACCTTGTTTGAAGAACGGCAATAAAGCTCACTGGGCTGTACTCTCAGGTATCTTATTTTTTAAAGATGGTACATGTTTATTCTATGACATTGTATTCATCAACTAAAATAAATAGTCAGGGCAATGCTAATACGTCACATTCAACTTCACTCCTGAATTATTGCCCTTGCAATATTGCATTTGCATTAATTTCTGCATAAATAAAGGCACTTTGCTAGACTGATTTGAAGTAACTTGTGATTGCTTACAGCATTATAACATAAAAGAGAGATACCACAGATGTATATATTCTGAAATTATTTTATTCATTGTGTATTAATAGGGTTCCTTTTTTCACTGGAAAGAACTTTGCTGCCTGACAATGTAGGAATGACAGAAGACCCTGAGTTATCTCCCTTATATGAAATTCAGCTAGGGAAAGCCTTTGCACTCCAGAATCTCCTTGTTTCATCGCCAGATGTTTTCGTGTTTGGCATGCAGGGCAAGAGTCAGAACATCGGCGTGTGGTCACTAGACAAAGTGCTGGAGAGTAATGCGAATTTACGGGAGGTGGATCCAGACCGAGAAGCGGAGGTGGATCAGTACATTATACCCCGGGAAGGGATCCAAAGGGTGTTGTGCAATAAAGTTGTGATTTTATGCAATCAATGTTCAAATAGTCCTTAAAAGAGAGTACTTATTTTTTTTTGTATTACAAATCCTATTATGTACATATGCCAAAAAAATGTACTTATTTTTGTTTTACAAATCATATTTAGATACATGTATTTGATTTTTTTTTCAAGTTTGATTATTTTTTTTTATGAGAGTTAAACATGTACATGCATTTACAATCCTTTGATAGTCTGTAGTTTTGCCAGTATTTTGCCAGTAGTTTTGCTTGTATATAAGTGTTAAAAATATAAACCAATGCAAAATATTACAGCTGGATACCTCAGTAATTTTTCAGTATTAGCAATAGAAACTAAAGCTTTATGGTTGTGCCTTCCTGAAAAAAAGTAATGTCTACATGTGATAATGATTTTTCCACATGATCGAATTGTGTGTGGTTGTGATGAAGTTTAAATCTTTCTTAAATGAATGTACTTCTTTTCTATTTTGGCACATTTGTCATTTGAATGCATTTAAATTTAAGTTAATTGTTTTGTTCATGTCTAAGTAATTTACACGTGATTGTTGTGTGTGAGTTTGTGATGAAGTTTGAACGATTCTTTAAAAAAAAAAAAATGAACTGTAAATCACTTAAATTTTGCGACACCTTATTTTTGCGAGATAGGCATTGATTTCTGATAAATGAGATAAAATTTTCAAGAATTGTGGTTATTGCTCAATATAATTTTAAGGAATACAATTATGCGCGAGAATTAAAATTTTGCCCGAGCACACTGTCTCGCATAGATATGCGAAAGTAAGTTCTCGCGAATAAAAAGTGATTTACAGTATGCTTATTCAAGTCAATATTTTTGTTTTGAATGTGATTGGTATACAAATAAATGCATTTACAATTCTTGCAGGCCTGTATAGGTACCAGGGAGACAGGGGTTAGGGGCAGTAATTTTGCTAGTATATAAAAGTATTACCAAAGCTACTTACATTTAATTACATATAGCTACCTCAATAATTTTCATGATCAGTATTTACAATAGAAAGCAATTAAAGGTGATGTTTTTAGCCCCTCCCCCATTAATCCAATAAAAAATGAAAATGCTTCCTACAGTCCTGCTTTGACAATCATTCAACAATGATCTGTGACAATAATTTTTTGGATTGTTTATAAATTAATAAAGTTGACATTTTTTTGCTTTCAAAACTTTTTGTTTGTATTTGAATTCTCAAATTTAGCTCATTTTATAATCAGCCACTTTAACATTAATACAGTTGTGAATCGCCCTCATGGCACAGTGGTACATGTAAAGAGTGTGCTCTAGAGTCATGAAGTAAGGAGTTGATCCTTACATCGCATCCCATTATGGAACATGGATTTTTTTTTTTTGGATGAGACTGTATAAATGTAGGTTCTGTGTTGCAGTAGGTGACTAATTAAGTGATGGCACAAAAAGACCCCTCAATGCTCAACTGCCCTGAGTGACAAGATATGAAGCATCTGGATAACTGAAACACACTTATTAAATTTATATAGGATTTGTTCCCCTCAAATTTCATCCTGAGGGTGAAGAATCTGAATTGTTTAATCATAATTAAACCATCAATCATTTTCTCCCACTGGGTCAGTTTCAACTAACTTACCACAAAGTATCCTTGGGTAAAGGGAATTGAAGTTTGTTCACATGAATGGCCACATCCTCTTTCAAGGGGAAATAATTCAGAATTGGTGTGAATTTATCTTTAGTTACAACTTGGCCAGAAAATATGAAACTGATGTGAAAGCTTCATTAGTGTAATTATAACTTCAAAGAATTACGAACGGTAGTATTGTTCTCCTGCCTACCCCTAAGTCAATTCTCAAAAGTTAATATATTCGAATGATTTTCAAAAATTTTATGGATATTTATATGAATTTTCATAAAATGTTACGTATTTGGGATACCAAAGAGAGATAACTCTATAATTTTGGTAAAACTTGGTTTTTCACTATAGAAATCAACGGAAAATATTTTTAAAAACATCGTTCCCCCCTGTGAAACAAAAATTCCTTTTTACAGGTAATATGAACTGTCATTTTACAAATTTATGCCAAAGCTTTTTGTGTTTCACGGGGGGGGGGGGGGGGGACAAATGTTTAAAGACAAAAAACAAAAAAAAAATGCTGAATTTTCACCAATTTTAAAGCTATTTACAACTAAATAATTGTATTTTATTGATTTATATATGTTTTATTTATTTGCGTAAAACATAAGAAAAGATATGAGAAACATTTTATCATAAGACTATATCAAAATAATATGGTGATTCTTGAAAGTTCGATTTCACTAGAAAATATCGTCTACCCCCCTTTTTTCAAGAGCTGGAATTAATAATTTACTATCTAGCGTTGGAATTAAAATGATTAATCAATTACCATAGAACTGTTCTTTGTATTAAACAAAGATTTCATGGCCAAATTGCCATTAATATTGAATTTAATGGGTGCAAAATGTAGGCGGGAATCAAGAGTTATAGAGTTCATAGTTCTTTGTTCAAATCAGGGAAACGAAGTTATAAATAGCAGAATGAATAGGAAATAGAATTTGTAAATGTGAATGGATTTCAAATAGTAGCTGGTCAACAATTTTAGCTGGATTTCATGAGAGAGTTCAAGGAAACTTGCATTATTTACAACATAAATAAGAAGATAGACAATAAAATCTTGTTATCTGGAATTCAAATGGAGTCACAATTTTTTTTTGACATATCCTAAGATTTCAACTACTGATGATGTAAAAAAAAAAGTACATAAAGAAAAAGTGGTTAGGACTTTTAACCTACTTTCCCATGGAGTTTTGAAACTGAAATTCGAGATATTCAAGTTAAACTACAGTAAAACTCGTTTAGTACGAACACGGATATAGCGAATTCACGGATATAGCGAAGTTTTTCTGGGTCCCCGACAAAATTCTTAACAAGTCTTTGTAAAATTTTACGGTTGTAACGAACTCTGATATAACGAATTTACGGATATAGCGAACTGATTTTGAGTCCCGTTGAGATTAAATCTAATGAAAATTACATCTCTTATAACGAACTTTCAAAGATCTCAAAATTTGATAAATTGACCCGATTTTATTCTCTTTTAGCATCTGTATATAAAATTAAATTCATAATATAACCTTAGTTATCGAAAGTATGTTTTGTAATATTTGCTTCCCTAACATATTTTGTAATAACGTACACTTGAAGGAAAACATGCATATTGCGAATTCGCAATATATGGTTATACAAATTCGTTATACGGATATATCGAATTAAATTCACAGGTCCCCAGGAGTTCGCTATAACCGAGTTTTACTGTATATATACACTTACAGAAGATTGACAATAAACATTTGTGCATAGATATTTATTTGATAAAAAAGTGTTAAAAGACACAATAACAAACTCTGTAAATATTTTTTTCACTGAGGTGAAACTAAGAAATAACAATAAATATACTCTAAAATTTGGCTAAATAGCACTTTTAACTGGCAATGAATTCTTAAAAATCTCATATAATGAGATTACAGCAACCATTAGTCTTTATGAAATCAAAACAACGACAACAATCATTTAATATCTCTTAACATCCTTGTACCTGGTACATGTAATATGTAATTCCTGTAAGTTGAAAATACATGTACATGTATTTTCTTTTGAGATTGAACAATGATATAACTAGCAGTGACAATATGTATTTTTTTGTTGTAATACAAAACTAGTATTGTTACATATACTAGCCGCAATTATGTAGCCCTTTACGATTTTTTTCATCTGATATTTTCTGGATTCCCCCCCCCCCAAAAAAAAGAGGAGGGGGCTACATTATTGCACCTACATGTATCACATACTGGCTTAAAAGGATAATCTATTAACCTTTTTTAAAGTACATGTATATCTGTAATTCAAAGAATACAAGATGTCTTATATTATTTTTAATTCTCTGTATAAATCGTAAAAGTTCCAAGATGAAAATTGAGAGAAAATACCCTGTCATGTCAGTTTGCATTGACAATATAGATACACAGTCCTCTTGCCTCTATAAAAAGTCTTAGCATAAGTTACATAAGTGTATATTATTCTAAAATTACAAGAAATGGGAGACTAATTTCAGGTTTGCCTTGAGTTTGTTAGAGGTTTGATGAATCTGTGTATAAAATCAGCTTCTGACATGGTATGGTATGCGACTGACTCCGTATTGTGATGTTTGAAGTGATCGGCCGTGAAGTTCGCACTAGTAACCATAACCTCTGCCCCTCCTTTTCCATCCGTACAACCAATAAACTTGGCATGGAATGTAGATAGAGGATACACGATACTGTTGTATACTTTGTATTCAATGACAGGCTGCATTTTACCTGGGAAATGATTTTGCGCATTTCTCTTGACATCGGAGATTTTTTCTGTATAGTTACATTTGATGCGTACAAAGAAAGCTTCAATGTTTGCTGTAGTAAAGTTTTTGAGGACAAGGTCACAGATGTCAATCATTCTGTCAGTGTCTAGGAAGGGCGTGGCTAAGTAAACATGGGAGTCTGGGTTGGACAGCCAATGAGAAAGCAGAGATTTCCAGAGTTTGTAAATGTAGTTGGGGCCATCTTTGATTATTGGTGTTCCTAGCTGTGTCAGTTGTCTATTTAGCACATCTCCAGTCCACTATAATGAAAAAAATACATGCATCTGAACATTTCTGCATTAAAAATCAAATACAGTGTACTTCATATTTGTTGATGTTTATTGAAGTCTTAATGCTAAGGAAAAAAGGTAATATTTTAACTCAGACTTGACAGTCAATTATGAAAGAAAGAATGCATAGTATATACATGTAGATCTGCATTCATAAAACTGAAATTTTTACTGATAATTCTGAAATGACTATCGATGAAGTTATATATGAACTTAAATGGTTATTATTAATGCATTATTCTGTGTCTTATTATAAACGATGTTTCACATTCACTGGCATGGTATTGTATATGACTGGATAAGGACTTTGGTAAAATTCTCACAAGGTCAAGTGATAGAAGTTCCAGATCATCAGTGAGGTCCTCCACAGTTGTCTCCCCTTTTTCAGCGCTCTTCTTTTCCTCTGGCGCCTCCTCTCTTGTGAGGTTGGTCTCTTCCTTAACATAAGCTATTTCTAGAGGTGGCATGTCATCCAAGGTCAAGGTCTTTTCTTCCAGATCTCTCTGTTTTTGAAGCATTTTTTCTACAAAATACAAAAGTAATAATTGTTACTATAGTCTTCTTTAATAAAAATTCTCTGGTTAGAAATACAGTGGGACCTGCTTAATCTGGATGCCAGTTGTCTGGAGGCATCAACTTCCAGACAAAATGGCAGGGAACATTTCATTAATTTGGACAATTTACTCAGGAACATAAATTTCTGGATTATCCAGGCTCTCTCTGCCTTATTCTGACAGGCTTTCACCTACATCCACCATGGATGTAGCCTGTCCACTTCTCTAAAGAGAATATGTCTGCCTCTGTGGAAAGACTTGCATTGCAAAGTGCAAAGAGGAAATTTGTATTGGATGAACTATTCTGAATTACGATATCAAGAAGAGATACTTGAAACCTTTTTTACAACTCTACCTTTTTCTTCAGCATCTTTCTTCATGAGTTCTGTCCACTTCTTTTCATGCTCCAGGTATCCATCAGATACTGGCTGGGGTTCCAAATGGGGCATGTCATAGGCATCCATAACTTTGGAAAATCTCTTCAGAAACCAGTCCAAGACAAAACTGCCTTGAATGGTCAAAGTACCAGTAGTCATATAGACAGTAATGGAGACATCGTCCACTCGTAACATGACCTTGTAATGTCCGTTTTTATCGTACAGTTTTTTGTATGGGTATCTTTGGACTGGATAGTTGTTAGGATGCTGAAGAACGTTCATCCAAAATGTTCCCAGAAGAATCGAACCCTGTTTTCCCCTCCTCTTGACCACGATTATTGATGGACTTGATAAATCTAAATACACAGATTCTGCAGTTTTTGACTTCACAAAGTCCTGTAATCTGGTTTCCATGGCTGCTTTACCACCCATTACAGTTTATCTATTAAAAAAAAAAAAAAGAATGAGACAGAGGAATAAATTTTTGGAAAACTTCTGGAAAAAATTCTACATACTGTTCAAGTAATTATTTTAATTCACAGGGATGCAAAATTCTGTTAGTTCATGGGGATGTTATTTTGTGCGAATTGCTAGCATATACAAAAGATTAATGAATAAATACACATGTATGTTGACAAAATAATCAATTGTTCATAGGGATGTAAATTCATGGATAACCCAAGAAATCCACAAACATTGGTTCCTGACAAACATTGACGATTCCATAGGTGGTGAAATAACAACTTCTGTAGGCCTACTGGGATTCAAACCCAGAGTCTTTGGGTTAGTGTATGTACCATTGAGCTTTTGAGAACTCATTTAAACAGTGTATTAATTGGTAGATTTCACACAACTGCTAACCGCTTACCAGGTGATAAAAATTTAAAAACAAATCCGATATCATTCTTTAGGAATGTGACATACAACAATTCCTGTATACAACAACAAATCAAACTCAATCTTTAGTGTAAAAAGATCAAAACACAAAGTCACATGTAGATCAAATCTTATATACGCATGCATTTTGAGGGCATTGTCGTCCACGATACTTTGTCAGTTTATATTCTTCAGCATAAAGATATGTTTGTTAATATTTTTACTGAAGTAATATACTACCTTCAAACTTAAATGCAGAATTAGGACAGAATTTCCTTATCAAATATCCGTTGCTAATATAAACACAAAATTGTATTAAAGTTTTTAGCTTTAAATTGAAAATATTCATAATAATTTTACTATTACCTTTCTGGGAACGTTGACTTTGATGAATATAAGAGCAAACTGTACAAGAAAATGGTTTTTAATTACAATTTTGGAGAGAAATTGCCAAATCGGTGCCTTGCTGCATTATTTATACAATTTAGACTTTTTGTTGTTTCCTACATTGAAGAGCCGGTGCGTCGATTTACCCAAAAGGACCCAAAAGGACCCAAAAGAACCCAAAAGGACCCAAAAGGAACCCAAAAGGACCCAAAAGGAAATTAAGAACGACCCAAAAGGACTTGAAATAAAGAGATTAAATGGATATATAATGAATACTTTCATATTTTATTAAAACTAAAACTAGTTTTTTGAGGGTAAAGTGCGTGTTTGGGTTGAGGTGGGAGCCCCACCCCCCACCCATCCCCGATACCATATGCCTAGAACATGTCATTAAATAAACTTATTTCTTTATTTATCAAATATCATATAATAAGATATAATAAAACAGAAGGAGAAATAGAATAATACAGTGCACTTTGTTAAATTCAGCTAAAAGAAATCAAAGCATATCTGACCAGATTTAATGATTGATGTGTTATAAAAGTCGTATGTTATTTCTTTAAGAAAAGTTGCAACAATATAAATGTATGTTTTTGCCAATTTTTAGGTAAATTTATAATATAATATTCATAATTTAATTCAAATTATTATTTTTCAATGTATTATAATATATTAATTCGAGTCCTTTTGATTTCCTTTTGGGTCCTTTTGGGTTCCTTTTGGGTCCTTTTGGGTTCCTTTTGGGTCCTTTTGGGTCCTTTTGGGTTCCTTTTGGGTCCTTTTGGGTAAATCGACGCACCCTTGAAGAGCTATTTTGAAAGTGAAATTAGAATCATGCGCTTCTTTTGTACTGCTGGTAGAGGAACAGAGATTTTTGCTTGTCAAGAAGTCTGCAAAGAGTTTAATCTGTGTAATGATTTGGTAATATATGTAATGATTTGGACATATTTGTTTTTTTTTTTAAGAATGTCTATCGATATCTTGTAATAGAAGAAGCATCAAAAGGGTTTAAAACTTTTGTTTCACCGTTTAAGGTAGTCCGATCCTCAGGTTTATAAAATTAGCAGTTAAGTACTCAAAAATAGGCTATATCCTGTTATCTGCAACGCGTTGCTTATAAGTTTTGGGGTATTTCAACTGTATTTGAAAAGATGAATGGTAGTGCAACATTATCAGAAAATGGCAAATTATCGATCTTTACGCTTTTACGGAATAAGCCGCATGATTTTAAACTTTCATAATAACAAACACACTCACTCACAAAAACAAATGCAAAAGAAATGTAGTTAGCCAATAAAAAGTACCAGGAAGTCGCATATTATCGTATTTTACACTTTTACGGAACAAGCCGCATGATATTATAACTCCTTAAATACAAACGCACACAAAAGAAATCAAAACCCTTAAATGCAATTATACTTATGAAAGAAAAAGTACCACGAAAACGCAAATTATATCGTTCTTTACGCTTTTACGGAATAAGCCGCATGATTTATAAAACCATCCTTAAACCAGAAGTCTCTGTCGAGACTGTAGCTCTACAGGTTTGTACTTAAAACAAAGGATGAGAAAAGAAGCCATTGCCATCAGACCAAAACTATAGAAGGAGTAGCATTTTAAAGGAATTTCTTAGACATTTATATTTTTAGTAACTATGGGAACACTTTTCATCAAAATCAAAAACCGATGCACTATTTTATGTATGTTAGTGTAGTCTACTTTTGTGCCAAGTAATGTTGAAATCAGACCAAAACTGTAGAAAGAATAGCGTTTTAAAGGAATTTCACAGAAAATTCTATTTTTAGTAACCATGGGAACACCGTTCATCGAAATCAAAAACCTATGCACTATTCTATGTATCTTAGTGTAGTCTACTTGTGTGCCAAGTAATATTAAAATCAGACCAAAACTGTAGAAGGAGTAGCGTTTTAAGGAAATTTCACAGAAAATTCTATTTTTAGTAACCATGGCAACATCGGTCATCGAAATCAAAAACCGATGCACTATTTTATGTATCTTAGTGTAGTCTACTTGTGTGCCAAGTTATATTGAAATCAGACCAAAACTGTAGAACGAGTAGCGTTATAAAGGAATTTCACAGAAATTCTATTTTTAGTAACCATGGCAACACCGTTCATTGAAATCAAAAACCGATGCACTATTTTATGTATCTTAGTGTAGTCTACTTGTGTGCCAAGTTATATTGAAATCAGACCAAAACTGTAGGAGGAGTAGCGTTTTGAAAAATTGTTTACAGACAGACGGACAGACAGACAGACAGACGGACGACGGACACCTTACTATCGCATAAGCTCTTCTGGTCTCTGACCAGTAGAGCTAAAAAACAAACACACACAAACTCGAATTCAATAAAACAAAACCTTAAAATGTAGTTTGCAAAGAAAAAGTACCAGGAAAACACAAAATAACACACTCACACCAAAACGAAAGTTAGCAGAGAAAATCGTATGGTATCAATGTTGATAAACTCCTAGAGGAATTACCCCGACTGAATAAAATTAAGTATTTTGTTAATATTCATGATGAAACACGTATAAATTTTTTTTCATCACTTTAATTTTTTTTAACACAATATGGCTGTTGTTTATTTCGATATTAATTTTTATATTTTGTATAAATAATCTTTTTTGGTTCTACAGAAAAAGCCACATGAAGGACATATGATATACTTGATAAATAACTATTTCTATATCGCATGTAATTTCCCTTGACTATTTTGTTAACATTCATAGAAATTGTTCTCTTCACTTTCATCTATTTGTAAAAAAAAAAACAAATATGACTGCATTCGTTGCGATAGCTATCACATTTTATTTCAATAAATATCCTTTATTATCCTTTTTACGATTTAACCAAATTTCTTGCAAGAAAAATACATTTTTTTTTTGTTCATTATTTCAACTGAATTATTCAGTTGAAATAATGAACACGTGAATTGAATAAAACATTTTTTTTAAATATTCGAGTATCAAAACCATCTTCCAGTAAAATAGTTAATTATAACAGAAGTTTAAACAACATAACAATGAAATTCGTCGCCTTATACTCCTGTTATTTGCAACGCTCTATGGAGAAATCAATCATTTTACTATGGAGTGATGCGTGCAACGCATGCAAAATAAAATATAGCGCTTTATTCCGTAAAATGTTTTCATTTTAGCTTGATCCCCCCAAAATAACCTAGCCCCATTTTTTCTGATATTAACCCCCCAAGAAAACCCTCTTCCCGGGGAAACTTCCCCTTTATGTACACTAATATAGTTTCAATAGCAGGAAAAAAAATTTGTTGCCATATATATATACTCCTGTTATTTGCAACGCTCTATGGAAAAATCGGTCATTTTACTATGGAGCGTTGCGTGCAACACATGCAAAATAAAATAGCATTTTATTCCGTAAAATGTCTATATTTTTATCTTGATTCCCCCCCAAAAAGCCAAGCCCCATTTTTTCTGATATAAACCCCCCAAGAAATCCCTCTTCCCGGGGGAACTTCCCCTTTATGTACATAATATAGTTTCAATATCAGGTAAATAAAATTCGTCGCCCTATATATACTCCTGTTATTTGCAACGCTCTATGGAGAAATCGATCATTTTACTATGGAGCGTTGCATGCAACACATGCAAAATAAAATAGCGCTTTATTCCGTGAAATGTCTATATTATTTTTATCTTGATTCCCCCCCAATAAGCCAAGCCCCATTTTCCTGATATTAACCCCCCAAGAAAACCCTCTTCCCGGGGGAACTTCCCCTTTATGTACTCTTATATAGTTTCAATAGCAGGTAAATAAAATTAATCGCCCTATATATACTCCTGTTATTGCAACGCTCTATGGAGAAATCGATCATTTTACTATGGAGTGATGCGTGCAACGCATGCAAAATAAAATAGCGCTTTATTCCGTAAAATGTCTATATTTTTATCTTGATTCCCCCCAAAAAAGCCAAGCCCCATTTTTTCTGATATTAACCCCCCAAGAAAACCCTCTTCCCGGGGGAACTTCCCCTTTATGTACTCTTATATAGTTTCAATATCAGGAAAATAAAATTCGTCGCCCTATATATACTCCTGTTATTTGCAATGCTCTATGGAGAAATCGATCATTTTACTATGGAGCGTTGCATGCAACGTTTTCCAGAATCAGAGAATTAATATGATAAATCTGTTTCATACTTGTAATTTTAATTATTCTTAGACGCCTTAAAAACATTTCCTTATCATTTGCTTTATTTTCTCAATTATACCTGAATGAATTTAATTTGATAAGGATCAGTATATGTTATTTCAATTATTTTCTGTGGTAAAAACTTATATGCAACGCGTTGCAAATAACAGGATATAGCCCAAAAATACTCATAAAAGTATCTCTGAAATCACAAAGTTATGTAAATTTATCCACAGTATTTCTTTATAGTTGGTCTCCAGCTTTTCTTTGCTTTATAGTTAAAGATTAAAGTGTACCATATAGGGAAAATTATCAAATCTCCAATATTTTTGCAGTAAAGGCAAATTGGAATATCAGCAATGCATTTTCTAATTGCAAATGGATCAATGAATTTTTTTAGGTTAAAAAATGATAGGTATCCAGGCATTCAGAGAAATTTTCATGATTTTAATACATATTTTGTATTTTTTATTTTGTCTTCTATTTTCATTATATATTCTATAATACATAGTGTAAAAAGCTTTTGCGATCATTGCAAGACACCACAAATCACTTATTATTTCATATCATGCTAATAAGCATTGATATCGAAGGCTGGATTTAAGAAAATCATATTTCTCTAAAACTGTATGTATTTTTTTTCCTTTTGTAGGGTACAAATGTCAACTTTTATAAGACCTTTTCTAAGACTTCCAAAAACCTTGAATCTTATAAAGATGAATAAAATGAAAATTGTTGCATGAAAAAAATTAATTTTCAAGCTTTATTTTGATGTATTTCTGAATCAAATTAAATGTTAATTTTTGGAGTTATCCATCCTAGCTGAGGATTGGATATCCTTTATATGTTGAAAAATTAAAGATCTCATCACAGGGGCTTTTGTAGAGAAATTATA